ATCGCCAGCCGCTTCTTGGCCCTTTCCCCCAGGGAATCGCTTCCTCCCTCCTGCTGTGTCCCCCCCACACCTTTTTTTTTTCCCCCTGCCCTGCAAGTTTCCTTACCCGGATACACGGCCACGAAGGGACACGGGCGCAGGCACCGAGCGCCTTCCCGACGTCCAACCGCCCCGGCCCCTATCCCCGGGAAGCGGCTCCCGGCAGGGCCTACCTTGGGAGCGCGCCGGGCCGGAGGCTCCGGGCTGCGGGCGACGTCGGGGCTGTCCCTGTGATTCAGCAGGGAGGTGGCGGTGCCGGGGCCGCATGCTGGGGCTCCCGCCGCCTCCTCCTCCTCCTCCTCCTCCTGTGTTGCTACGCGATCACATCGCCAGCAGGAACAGCCTCGCTCCGGCCGCAGAGATACCCTTGAGTCGGCAAAGGCGGGAGGGAAGAAGGACAATCCCGCAAAGCGCCCGGACCTTTCCCGTCCGGAGGTCCCTCGGCTCAGGATCAAGGCGAAGGAGGGGAAGGAGAGGAGCGGAGATGCAGACACACGCATCCGAGGAGGAGGAGACAAAATACACATGGAGAGAGGGATGGGAGCCTGGGAGAGAGGAAGGGAGGGGGGACAGACAGGGACACGCGCGGAGGCGCCGCGCTGCGACCCGCGGAGCGCCGGGCACTGCCCGCCGGGCCCTTCCACGCGCTCGGCGCTGCCTGCTCTCATTTTGTGCTCCGTTCGGCCATGTGCAGCCTGGAAAATGCCAGGCACTTTCCCCTCGTTTCTCCATGGCAATTTGGATGTCTGGCACGAGATTTAGTAACTTCACATTTTAAAATGGGTTTGTTTTTGGTTAAGGAGAAAGAATGGGATAATCTCATTTGAGATATGCTTCCTGTTCACTTAAAAACAAGAAACGTAAGTAAAAGAACCAACTGTCCAAGCTGGGGAGAAATCCTGATCCAAGATCTCTCTTTTTTTTTAAATGTCAGGGTATTTTGTGTCAGCTCACCAGAATCAGAAGGATTTGAGCTGCTGACTTGGCTGAGGACACAAGCAGACCTAGAGTTCGGATTCCAGTTCATCCATAACAAGCAGTTTGCAGTTCTTTAGCTCCTGCCATCCAAGGATTTCAAACCACTTCAGACACCACTGATATCGTTCCCACACTACATGAAAGAAAACAAACAGAAAGTAACTTGGTCAAGACAAGTCAGGAAGAGGAGGTAGAGCTGAATCCCAGTCCCATGCTTTAGCCACTAGTTTGTCCCTGCCTTTCCCTGGGAAAATTAAACTTGGGAAACATTATGTTCCTCTTCAGAATGGCTTTTGGGGCACCCTAGCCCCGCTGCCTTCATAGGGTTCACAAAATAAGGATGTCAGCCTTTGGAGGTCAGCAGTTTAAATGTCGAGAGGGCAGTCAAAATATATCGATATTCAGCAGTTCTCAAGAAACCAACTCAGCGGAGTGGTGCCAGCTAGAAACTCCAGCATGGGAATTGCCATCCCCAAGGAACCTTTCCTGTCTTTCCAGGTAAGTGTGGAAAGAGTCAGGAGCAGAGTCAATCAGCACAGAGGGAGGCAAGGCATGAAGAATCCTCACAAATAATGTGTTTTGAAATGAGACTTGAGTACCAACCAAGACGTGCATGCTCCACACCTTCTGCTTCCAAAAGCTGCTTCAATAGCTTCTGTTTCAGCAACGGTTGTATTGATGCAACAAACTGCTTGGGCTCAAAAGCCACATTTAGACAAAAGACAACAAGGTAGGGATAGAAAGAACAGAACCAAGCCCTGGGTTAACTAAGGAGAGTGGAGGAAAAAGTCAAAAAGATAAAGCAGGCCCTGTAGTAGCAGAGTTATCCAAGCGATTCCACACACACCGTTCAGCAGAGACAACCACATCAAAGTGCTCTGTACATCTGTCAGCAACGGTTTCTATAAGAAACATGACAACACGGATAAGGGGAGGACGTATCAAGCCTAGTTACACTTGCACATGAGACAGACCACAGCACAGAGACATTAATAGACTGCACAGACCACAAAAAATAAGGTACTTTGCAGTACATGCACCCTAAATTATTGATAGTTTAGGGACAGAAAAAGAAGGAGGAAAAAAAAATCTCATGTCAGTTTAGTTTAAATTTTGAGACAAAAGAGAATCTCTCGCGAACGAGTTGCTTTCGTGGCTGGGGGCATCATCCTTGTCCCCCCGGTACCTCGTGTTTCAAGACTCTAAGTAGGACAAAGAGCCCAGCAATTCAGAACTCAAAGGACATCAGGGGGATGAAGTCAGATTTGTCACAAACGCACCCTGCCATGTAAACACCGCAGTTGTGTGCAGCACGTAGAAAGTTAGGAGAAGAGATGCTAAGTTTTATGTGCTTTGACTTCTGAAGATAACTTAATCTCACAAGGAGCTCCAAAAAGCCACGCGCACGTCTTCACCCGCCATCCATTTTGGATTGTGTGGGTTTTGCTAAGCAGCAAAGATGTGCTTGCTAGCAGAACCAAGAGTCTCCATGTGCTCAAAGGAGACGTTGCAGCATGCACAATGCTGAGCACAGTGTGCAAATACACTATAGGCAAAGTTGAGCCAGGTTTTATATGACCTGAGTGCAGCAGAAGGCAGAGTCTGATTTGCATCCGTGCAACTGCATTGAAAACGATGGAGTTTAAGGCAATTTGAATCACCAAACAGACTCCAGTTTACACTTGTGAAATTAAAATCAGCAACACATACAAAACATGCAAAGCTACAAAACACAAACGCATATGCTCTGAAAATGATTGGTGAAAACTGCACTATATGGAGACATACTAACACAACTTTAGTATGAAAATGAAAAAAAAAACCCATAACTTATCTCTATGGCCTGACCTCAGAGTCTTTATTACTCCCCTTTGTCCAAAGCCAATATTAATTTTGGCCGAATGGCTCTTAAGATGGAATATCCATAATGCTAAATATCTTGTATTACTAGCCAATAAAAACATTATCTCTAGCTTTCCCATCTGGAACACACCACCTTTAGCTGTCGATGCAGTTAAAGGCTATTATTACCTTTGACTGTTTCGCTTCCTGTATCTCCCGCTTGCTAAAATAGTCTTTGCCCTGGAGAATTGCTTTCTGAAACACAATCTCTCTCTCTCCTCACACGCTGCAACTTCTTTCCTTTGAAATCTCATGTCTCCTGAAAGATGAGGACCATCATTTTATTTATACTGAACAAGTGGAAATGTGGCCACCCTTTGGAAGCTGCACCAGATTCTTTCCCTTATTAATTTCAGTGCAGAATCCTCCCTTCTTCCCCCAATTACTGTTCAAACCTCTTTCAAAACAAACCTTCCCTTTAAAAATAATATCTTCAAAGTGGATATCTCCATGGAAAAGCAGAAATAGGAACGATGGGAAGCTGAACTCTCTCTTTTTTGTTGTTTTGTAGCTACTGAGATGCTAAGACTCTCTTCACAACTTACATCTTCTTTCTTAGCTCCCACTTGCTTTAATGCAATACCAGGGGGACCTGCTGCTGAAAGCACTGGGCAAGAGAGGTGATATTATTACTACCACTACTTCAATATATAATTATCATTTTTTCTTTGTTCAAATAACCTGAAACCATTCACAAAATATGCTAAATTACCACAACAACATACCCCTGAGTTAAAGCCAAGGAACCAACCTCGGAACCAACTGTTCGACAGCCTGGTCTAGAGAGGCCCAGCATCCGCACAAGGCAGTCATGCTGGAGCAGTTTGCCTGCCTAGAAATCAGCAGATTTGGAACAGAAGAAAGGGAAAAAGACATTTGGGAATGCATTTTTTTTTCCAGTTAAAGTGTTTTAAAAGAAGATACTGTATTCTTGGGAAAAGACTGTGACAGAAAGAAGATTATGATTTACTAGTGCCAAGTACATCCTCAAAAATCCCTCACACAGGGATTTTTGCACTGCTCCGAACACAGGAATGCAGAGTGGGGAGGCTGCAGCGAGGCCGTACAGCACAGAGAGGAGGGCAGCAGTTTAGAAATCGATCCTGGACTTGTACACGAAGGGCTGTACCATGTTGTGGAGCGACCTTTGATGAAGAGCTCACACGACATCGCGAGCGGAGGAGCAGCTGGTGGAGCCGGATGGGTTTAATTCCCAAGCTAGGGCTGGAAAAGCTGCGGGAGATCATAAAGTTCCTATATACAGGAACAAGCCATTGCTATCCTAGCAGCCTCCAAATCTGAAATTGAATGCATAGGGCTTCTGCTAAAGCAGACAGAGCTAAATATTGCCTGAGAATAAATGTTTAAGCGCTGAAAACAGAATACAGGAACAGACAAAGAATAATCCTTCCCTAGAGCCGTGCACTTGCAGTGTCCTTGCTTCCAGCTGCTGGAGGACACTTGGGTGAGAGGCTTGTGAGCAAGCGAAACGCCTGACAGCCTGAAGGAATCCTGTTTTCCCCAGGATACGACAACGTTCTGCTTCCTGGAGATGCGGCTCCAGCATCGGGGGCTCCTCCTGACTGAGGTGATAGACGGGACTCTGGATTCCAGCACAGCCGTCCACGTCACAACAAGTTTTCCATGCGGGATCGCTGATTGCTCTGGTTACGCTGTGCCTACCTGCAGGCGCAGAGACGGAGGGAACGGGTCACTCCAAAGGGACAAACCTGCCCGTCCCTTCCAGGACAGCAGGGAAGAAAAGGCGCTCACGAGTGGAGCACAAGGAACCCTTTTCCCACAAGAAAAAGCTGGAATTAGAGGATCATCTTGCAGAGAATCCCAGTCATCACCCCATACTGTTCCTTCATTTGCTTCAGTAACTGTTGTCAAGGGCATCTCCTCTGCAGGTTCCAAAAGCACAAGGCTCTTCCAAGCACGGGTTCCACCCTGTCTACAGTTAGGATCAAAGTGCTTTGGAAAACAGCAGGAGACTCCCTAAAAGCGCCCTACCTGGGGTGAGGAGGAAGAATAGCTGGGAAACTGATATAAGTAGTTCACAAGGATTCAGAAATACAACGAATCAACCTATTCATTTGCTGCTGCATAAAGATGAAAACAGATATCCCTGACTGAGAAATGAGGAAGATCGTGGGAAAGAGGGAACCTTTCCAGAGCGAGGCACGCCAACAAACAGGGGTGGATGTGAAGAGCGTTACAGAATTTGGGCGAGGGCAAAGATTATTAAAAAAAAAAAAACAATAGAAAGGAAAAAATGGTAAAAAGGAAAGATATGCAGGAGAAAAGGGGAGGGAAGATGACTTTCACAGAGCTTTTTGTGCTTTAAAGGCTGGCAGTGTGTTCATGCCATGCCTTTCCACCCCCTCCCTTGGCTGAGCCTTGCACACAAAGGAGCAGGGAGGCGACGGCAGAGGAGCTGCCGAAGATTCACTTGGACACGGAGCAGAGGTGCCCGGAGAGAAAGGAACCTGCTCAGTGATCCGTGGACAGCGAACGCGACGGGAAGGGCTCGGGCTGCCGGAGTCTAAGGAGAGGGTTGGGAAGAGCTGGCCCAAGGATACAGCCTGCATATAAAACATATATATATATATTTATTTATTTATTTAGCCAAGAAATCTAACCCCGTGTATTCACTGTATTAAGGGAAGAGCCCAAATGATTTAGGCGGAGAGGAAGATTTTGCAACCCGAACATAGTGCCCCAGGCTCAGGATGGCTCATGTCACCAAACCTGGGCCAGAACAGGCCATTTTGTGACACACTTCTGACAGGTACCAGTGTCTGGCAGGTGTACATTGCTTGTTAAAGCTGCAAGAGTGGGATCACGCATCCGAGCTCCAGATTTCTAAATGCTGCCAAGGCTAAAAGCATGTTTAGAGCCTGTGTCAAGTACTTGAAACTTTTTTTTTTTTTTTAAGACTACTTAAACTATAAACTTTTATAAGACTCTTCTCAGTCTGAAAATGGAATTTAGACACTAAAGTAATTAAAGCATTTAAGAAAAATCTTGCCCTCTGCTACGGAGGCTTGCTAGGTGAACAAGACAGGAAGCTGCAAAGCAGAGGAATGAAGGGTCATGCAATAAGCACCTTGCTCGAGACACCGAGGTGCCTGTGCACTTCAGTACCTGCCTTGTCCACGGTGAACGCTTGAAATTACTGGCACAGGCCTAGGAACCGAGCACCTCAAGAATCCTGCACCTAACACCATGTCAGCACCACATGCCTTTAGCATCCTTTTAAAAAGTCAGTTTTAAAAGTCAAAAGTAAAATTCGGCAAAATCAAGTCAGGATCAGATCAGAACTACGGCATTTTTTCTGAGAAGCAGAGCTCTAACGAGGGGCAGACATTGCTGCAACAGAAATCATCTTTCCTAGATGGAAATATCTCAAGACCTCGCTCTTTTGAGACCTGCATCCTCCAGAGCAAGCCCATTACTTGTCCCCTGGACTAGCTGTCTCCTCTGGCGAGAGCCGAGGACTCTCCTTTGCCCACTCCTGGGTGCTGCTGCATATTATCAATAACACATTAGCAGAGCATTTCCCACGGGAGCCAGAGCAGAGCTTCCCGGCTGGAGATGCGCAGAGAAAATGAACTCTTAGCCAGGTCAGAGTTCTCAGCCTTCCCCATTTGTGTCTCCTGTGTACAAAGAGGTGTGATAAAAACATTTCGTCACCGTGGCCAGGAGGTGACTGCCCACCCCAGGGCTTTAACTCAACGACAAAGCGGGCAAGGGAGGAGACAGAGGCACAAGAGTCTAAACCTCACTGCTAACAGCTACTGAAGTGAATTTTACTTTGGTGCAAGTTAAACGCTGTTAGCAGAGCACAGCACCCATATTGGCAGTTGCTAGAGCTGCAATACAAGTCTCTGAGGTTCAATTTTCTGAGTGGCTACAGCTGTACCACCTTCTAAATCCTTGGGTCCTGATTTATTCATGGCATTAGGAATGCAAAATGCAAGCAGAGGGAAGTAGGCCAACAAGAGAATAGAAAGCAGGGACACAGAGGAACTAGTTTCTTCATTCCAGCTGAAAACAGGTTGAAATTGTTAACTCTTTCAGCGCAGGCTCTCTCTGAAAGGACAACACTGCCTGATGAATGAAGATGCACAAATGATTCTCTTCCACAAAATAAAAATCTTGAGTAGCAGAAATACAAAGCAAGTATGGCTTCAGAAAAAGAATTCAGCTTAACTCCAGACTGAGGCGTCTGCAGTTAGAGATGCATCATGTCCAGGTCAGGGTGTCTGCAGGGGAGGAGGCACCAGCTTTGGTTCTGGGAGCTGCGGACCAAAGTTCCAGCGGTGCCACTCAAGGCAGCTCCTTCAGAGAGCAGCAGAGCTGTGGCCATTCACCCCAGACAAGGGTCTAACCCTAACACCGACTCGGAGATCTTCCTAAAGCAAAAGGCCTCGCAGGCTGGAGGCAGCTCATCAGACCACTAGAAAAGCTGCAGAATAATGCACAGCCAAACAACTGCTGCTCTGTCATTAACACCTCTTGTCACCTACCAGAAAGCAGATGGGGCTTCACAGTCCCCATTCCAGTCCTTGGAGCAGATGCTATAGTCAGCCGAGTCTTTGAGCACGTGCTGGTAAGAGAAAATGGTCTACAAAGTTTGCCATGATGGTTAGATGGTAAAAAAAAGAGCTAAGGAAAGAAACAGCAGCACTCTTCTCCCTAAAAAAACACCTCATTCTTCCACTTAAATGAAACATTAACAGAAAAAAACAATTAAGAAAAAAGGGAGGGGTGGGAAGGATGGGAAAGAGGAGAATCACCAGGGCACACAGACAAGCTGCACCTCAATGCTCTAAGCTAGTCCAAAAGAACTCCACTAGCCTTTAAAAGAGATAACTGAGGATGCTAGGGACTCACCTATCCTATAAATATAATATATATATATTTAAATTTATATATATACACACACAAATATACATACATATGTCTGCATATATTTATCAGATCTTGAGTTGAAAAGTTTGACAGTCTATAAAAGCTGGAGCCAGTGTAATTTTAAGATGAAGAAGTCATCGAGATCTTTCACATCTCTAGTGGCTCTGAAGTAACTGTCTGGAACTGAAGTAATTCATTTTATTTGATCAAAGTACAAATTCACAATGCAAACTTCAGCATTCTCTGCCCATCTTCTGAGTGGTAATGACCTAATTTTACAGCAGTGAAATAAAGTTCATCCCAATTCTGGAGTCCTGAGCTCATCTTCTCCTGACTTCTACCATGTGCTAAAATGAAATCACATGAGGAAATATATTTTGTAGTAGAATGTCTTCAAAATGGCAAATAGAAAGCATTTTACACAATATAAATTATACATATGTACACATATAATACACAATATGTACAGAGCTTAAAAAATTTAAAAGGGAAGTTATATTTGAGCTTATCAAAGAAAATGGTGACCTGCTGGCTACACTGGCACTCAAAGCATCAATAAACCATCATTTGAGCACCAACTCTTCCTGATGCATTACAGGAACATTCCAAGCAACGTTAGCAAAAAGTATATTTTGGAAGTTTCATACAGAAACAAACATTTCAGAAGGGCAGTCTGGCCAGCCTCATACAGAGACTCAGACCCAGAATATGCATCATGCAAGAGGGGGTTCAGGAAGCTGGTAGTCCTCCCATCCAGTACATACAAAGTATCCCTGAAAGGATGATTAAATTGTTCCTTGTTACCTACTGTTGAGAGAAGCAAAGCAGGTCTGATAGCAGACATTGCTTCTAAATGAAGCAGCACTGCTCATTGCACTTTAAAGATGGAAAATACTTGTTCCTCAGTCAAAATAGCTGTTCCTTATAAGAAAAATGATTAAAAACATGGATGTTACAAAGCACATGAATTCAGCAGCTTCAGATCAAAAACGTTTAGCAGGGACAGAGGGGTTCAGGGTTAGTGAACCAAGCGAGCCCGATCATTCCTTCTGCGTCTTCACTTTTCTAAAATAAAAGTCAGTATCAAAATACAAACGAGTCTAATTGCTCTGTTTCTTTCCTTCATGAAAGAAAGGATTAGAGATACAGTCCATTATGTTCTGCTTTCTGGTTTCAGGCGGTCCAAAGGCTCCAGTGAGTCCCAGGGTTACACTTACATATTGCCTTCTTTACTTTGAGAGACCAAAGAAACGCGGCTTATGCTGCTTTCAATAAAGAGTTTCAGGCCTTTTAAGCCTTGTGCATAGAGATATTCCAGATACCAGTTCCACTTCCTTCCCTATAAAAACAGAGAAAATAGTTAGACGTGCAGGACATGGCTTTGTCTCTTACTTGAGCTCATCAGAAAGTGTCTGCAAATATCACCTATCACAATCCAATATCCATCCCACTCCACTAATATCTACCAGGATACAGAGGTCACATCCTTTTCCCTGATACTCAAACTCCTTATTCATATATTGCATGTTCTTAGCTTGAACTTATGAGCATTTCCAGCATGAAAAAATACCATGATTTTTCCAATACTGAAAATGCACAAAAATCCTAATCCTAAGAGTGCAAAGGCTACTGAGTCACCAGGGAAGAAGTTGAGGACCAACGGAACATGGATATGGAAGTCCTCCTTCCATCCATCCTTCCAATAGCAATTCCTCCAGAGCAGGTTTGAGGTACCCTCTAGATACAGGAAGCCCTATACCTGATTACTCAGTGAAGGGCTCCAGCTTAAAGCTAAAACAAAGTAACATTAAGCTGTACTTACTATTAATAATTGAAATTCTGCTTTAGTTGCACAAAAAAAAATAAATAAAACCCCACAACTTCTGGCAGAATCTGCACAGGAAAAAAAAAAAGAGTCTCTTTGTCCTGGACTGACTCTTGAAGGGAATACATAAAAATCTCGGATCACTTATGGTAGATGGATAGATACATAGCTTAGATTTTCCAGTGTTGATGTACTTTTGTTTGGCCATGTTGGGAGACGAAATCTACCTCTGCAGCCAGAATTTGTGTCTCAAAATTTCTACAGAGCATTTCTGAAGTCAATGAATATATCACCTCATCCTCTTCTGATAAGTAGTTGCTGATAATAGCCTGTTTCTATATCATGCACACACACACACACAGAACCACCTTACCTTAATTAAACTAAAGTTGAAGGTGTTATCATCTGGCCAGGCCTTAAAGAGAAGGGAAAAAAAACGATGTCAAGTTAGAAAAAAACATGTCCATAATTGCCTGGTTCCCCTTGTATCATGAATTCCAGATGTGCCAGGAAATTCAGGGATTTTTAATCATGCATGAGAACAGACCTCCAGCATTATACTTAAAGCATTCCACCAGAGCAAGGCAGCACGGAGACCCTCTTGTCCCTCTGCTGCAACATTTCTGGATAGCAACACAGAACATTTATAGATATCTCTAACCACTGTCTCTATGGTGTACAAGCCACTGCTTCAAAACATTAGGTAGACAATTCCCAACAGTGACACTGAGGAAAAAACCTGCTGACATTCAGCTTATTGCTTCTGCTCTCAGTGTGCTGCAGAGCAGTGCCCTCTGGTGCTCAGCAATCAAGTTTTTAAGAGAAGACAGGACTGCAGTTACTATTTTTTCCTATGTTAACACCTCTCTGTCATCACTACGAAGTGAAACCTTTCTTGCTCCTAGAGTAGGAAGAAGGCAACAATTCTCTACCAATAGTTTTCTGCTTACTGAGGCTACAGGAGGAATTAGAAAGTTTCAGGAAGAAAAGTGAATTAGAAAAAAAAAAAAGGCATGAAAGGCTAACCCTGCTGCAATAGCAGAAAGGGCAAAAGAACTTAACTCTACAATTTAAGGATATATTTAACAAAAATAAAACATCATCGTGCTATGACAAACCTTGGGTTTAGATCAGCAGTAACAGACAGATTACCTGGATTCACAGTCCTGAGCATAGAAGACAACTCAAATTTGTGACATACCCCTAACCAGGATTACACTGCTTCAACTTTTTGACCTCAGGTTTCCTGACTTCATTACAGGAAGCCCACACCTGCACATACCTTAAGTTTGCCATCATTCCTCACAACAAAGAAGATGGTTTGTATACGCCTTGGACAGCCTATTTCTGAGATTGCCTGATTTCTGAGAACAATATGCACCCCTCAGCACAGTAATAGTTGCTGCAAGCTGCTTCCTTCGCTATTTAGGAGCTGCACTGACTGCACAGTGGCACTTGGAATTCCAGGAGCTGAGTCGCAGAACTCAAATACACCAGGCAATACAAAGCAGCACCACATTATCCCACTTGTCTTTATACTTGAAATTGGCTCAGTAAAAAAGATATTGAAGGCACCTTTCTCAAAAGCTACTGCAAGAACCAGGAAGCAGTGCTGAAAGCTCTACTGTGGACATCTGCACACAGCATAACCCTGTAGTTCTCTATTTTCAGGAGTTTACATTGTAAAGTTTACGGTGCACTTCGTATTTTGTAGGGCAGGATGCACATTGTGAAGAGTGCACTTAATTATCTATTTTTTCATTATTAATCTATTTTAGTTCTATCCTTAAAGTGACCAGAAGCACAAATTTACACCCTAGAACTGCAACATTGGTACTTTCACACCACGCAAACAAAAACTATTCAAACTGTGCCCCTGATCTGACATTCCCACAGAATGCCATACCAGCTGTTGAAAGCTCTGTTGACTCCAAAAGTGCCAATTACTCAGTCACTGTACAGGGACTCTAGAGAAACTGCCAAGTTAGAACATCTGGTGCTGCCAAAGGGCCGAGCATTGGCCTCCATCATTACCTGCTGCAGGAAGAGGAGAGCATAACCCATCAGGGCTGGATGGTAGACAATGTTAAAGCTGTTTTTGAAGTCCTTCACTCTGGTTTTCTTTAGCACTTCTTCATCCAGACGAAGACCTTCAGGATGAATGTCCTTCTGGAAGGCATTGGATGTCCACAGACACCCCACCATGGCTATTAGATACTGGTTGTATTCTTGGTAGGTCTGGCTGCTGAACTGGAATTGCAGTACTTTCTGAGGAATGAGAAAATAAATCAGAAAACTGCATCCTCAAAGCAGTTGAGTATTCTCTCTAATTCTTAAAAAGGTGGCTGTTAGAACACCTCCTTTCTATTCACCCCAACTCCTTATTGAGGTCCATTCTAGCACATTTGTGCTAGCCAGATTTGCCCACAATACCTTTTTAATCATCTCATTTTCTTTTGCAGCTACCAAGTTGGTTCGGTACCTGAGAAAACCAAAAAGAGAACATTAGAAGCCTGCAAATTTTAATATAGATTAGGGTTGAAAAAAAGAGTTGGAGAAATGCTTACAGAGAAGTAAAAATTGTTTTTCCTCCAAAGAGACCATCCAGAAAAAAAAAAAAAAGCAGGAGGTGCTTTATCTCTTGGCATAGACCAAGCTTCTCCTGGGGGAGCAGGAAGATACCTGATCACAGCCACCTCTTGGATTAGCAATATGTGACTGGTGTGCATGGGGCAAAGCCACCTTTATAAGGGCTAGATAAGTCACCTTTATAAGGGCAGGGAGTGACATGGAGCCCTGAAAGCAGCAAAAACACGGAGTGTATCTTTAAATGGGGAGACCTCCATTCACCAAGTAGAGAAAGGGAAGCCACTGGAAGTAATGCAACTTGACAGTTGTTCTATATAATAAGCACTAGCTCTTCTTATTTCCCAGAGACCATCCTGTCATGTTAATTACCCTGCAGTCTCCTTAGAGAAAAAGGCACATGGAGAGCCCTACGCCAGCTGTCAGCAATTGGCTACTCTTCCTAGATGCAACCACTGGAACTAACAAGGCCAACAGCAGCAGCCCTGTTCATGGATCCTGCAGAGAGCTGAACAGTGCCATCTTCAGACCTGCAGGCAGCACAAACAGCCCCAAATTCCCCACAAGGTTTAGGGATGGCAGAAGGCACTTTGTATTTAGCACGTTACAGATTTCAGAGCAAAAGCCTAAGTCTAGTGATCAGAGCAAGAAATGAGAAGTTTTATGGGTAGCTACTAACTATTCCAGCTCTTTGTTGCTGGTCAATTGAAGTTTTCTTAAAACGTGGGAACTTCTTCCCTCGCTTGTCAAAGATACAGAAATAATACGAAGCAATAGGTCAGAATCCTCCTACTTGAGATAGCAGATTGAAAAAAAAAAAAGAAAAAAGGTAGAAACTGCAGCTGTAAAAGACCATCATGAGAGCTGGGCACAGCCTGAACATTTCACCTTTGCCTTGCATAGTGGGAAAAAGCAGATCTAAGATTTTGATTTTACACCAAAGTGATGTTATTTCCAAAAGAACAAAAGAGGAGTCCCTGCAGCTCGCACAACTGTAGTACCTGTACATGATGTAGCAGAGCTGATTCAAGCTGACAGAGTCCATGCTGAGCAGTGCTGGGTAGAAGACTCCAGCAGGAGGCATTATCAGCAAAGGCAGGTTGTACCGAAGATAAATGTCACACACCTGCAGGAAGGAAGTAAACCTCATCAGTTGTTACTCCATTAACAAACTCCCAAAACACACAGCGAACAAAAGAGAGCACGAAACCCACTTCTCTGTCAGCTCCATCAACCTCACCTTGGAAGCACAGCAGGGCGAAGCAATTCCATTTGTTCCTTTCTCAACAGGAGACAAATTCAGCAGTATATGTCTAAGTGTTTGCTTTAACCATTTAGCAATTCCATTTGTTCCTTTCTCAACAAGAGACAAATTCAGCAGTATATGTCCAAGTGTTTGCTTTAACCATCTAAATACACCTTATGTTTAGACATAAGGTTATTTGCTGGGTTAAATCTATCCAAATCCTTGTAAAAAAATAAAACAACCAGCAGCCACTTTTTTCCCTCTTGAAATTTTATATTGTTTTTATATAGGAGGCTTGGATTGTAGTCGACCAGACCTGTCTCCTAGCCTAAGTTTGTTGGTACCAGCAGTCAAGCAACAGATAATATGACTCTTCCCTGCAGGAAATTAAAGTAATCTATTTGACCTTGCCAGAATTGCATGACCACACAGTAAAATTTTGCTCTAAGAAAGGACACAAAAAAAGGCCACAAAACAGAGTTTTTTGATTAGACTCAGGCTTAGAATTTAAGGTTCAGTTACAAGGAATAGGAGCATTTTATAATTTATGCAAATTCAACAAGCAGATGCCAGCACTCGATAAACTTGCATTGCTTTGTTAAACCTGCAAATTCATCCATGGATGGAATTCTTGGGGCAGTGAGCACATATCCATAGAGGAATATGGAAAGCCACAGCAGGCTTAAGCCTATATGAAGCTGCTTGGTTTGTCTACAGAGTAAACTGGGAGATAAACAACTCATTTTTAAAAGGAACTTTTAAGTAGCAAATTATGGTATGTGGTTTTAATTTGAAACGAATGTTATTCTTTTGTGTAAATTACTACTAAAAAGTCTGGATCTATTCACATTATGCCAAGTTTTACTTTCTCTTCTTCAACACACCTCCGAAGTAAACAGAGCCACTCTCTGGTAGCAATCCTGAGATCAGCCTATTGATGCAACAGAGATCATCTGAAGATCTACCAGGTATTTGCAAAGTTCTGACATTTAATCAGAACAGAAATTCTATAAACTCAAGAAGAGTTTCATGCTCTAGCTTAAAAATAGAAACAGCCTCCAGGGAAAAGGAATTTTGAATGCCAAAATAAATGGGATACATACCGTCTCATAGAAATCCAGAATGAAATACAGCAAGAAAGTAACGTTGTTTTCCAACTGCAGTGCGATGGCAGAGATCCGTCCAACAAAGTGGATCAGCTCAGCCACCACGTTCACCAGCCCAGACAGAGTGGTATTCCTGGGGCAGTAGTGTGACATACAACATTAGCACATGCACCTCTTCACAAACAGTATAAAACAGAAGTGGAAAAGGAAGCTGAAGGACATCCTTCCACCCCATCACTCCCAACACTATTCAGGAACAGTTGTTTTCCCCTCAAATATTTCCAGTGACACTTTGTTATCCAAATTGTTTTAAATGTGGCCCAGCTGCCAATGTTAACAGGATTCTAACTTCTGACATTTCAATTTTCAGGATCAGTTGAAGAATACTTTTATAGAAAAAGCAAGCAATAAGATTGACAAGATATCTTACAATAAAGCAGAAACATTGCAGCATTACTGGCCTTTTAGCCTGTCTTTATATTAGTTACTATAGGTAAATTATGTACCCATGCATGCATACATACATAATGTATGTATGTATATATAAAAGTACATTTGTGAACAACACACAAAACATGGTTTTGCATTTATTTCAGGTAAACTTACAAAGAATGATTTTGAGAATCAGACTCTGAACCCAGCTCAATCATATGCCAATTTAACCAGTTCTGCAACAGCTCTTTCAGGCTCTCAAGAACACTGCACTGCAAGGGGCAAAAAGAAAACAGGCTGATGACAACTTACATGAGGGAATAATAAGCAGAAACATGTCCTCAGAACTGCAGCCTACAAGGAAACTACAAATAGTTTCTCCAGGCCACAAAGAAGTGAGCTAATTGTGATGCCCACATGAACTGAATATGTGTGGGTTACTTAAATTTTCCTGGAGAACAGGAAATTTTTCCTGGAGTTTCAAATGCTAGGTTAAAATTACAGTAAAACAAAGCAACTAATGTCTCACATACTGTGAGTGTTATTTTTATTTCCAATGCCCTGGTTTAATCCCAGTCAAAAAAGACAATACCTTAAAGGCACTCATATTCCCAAACAAGTGACATCTCAAGTATATATTTAACCTTTTTATAGACACAAATTTCCCCCAAAGAAGTCCATTATAGAATCCCTTGGACTGTTATACCATATACAGGTGGAGACATCTATCCTGCCTAGAAGTTAATAGCCTGTGGGGTCACTTGAATTACCTTAAAATAAAGGGAAGATGTGAAAAAGAGCTGTGCCAGGGGACCATAGAGATACGACTTCATTTCTGAAATAAATGAGAGAAATATGAAAACAAACCCCCCAAGACCAGACACTGTTCAGCCTCACCCAAAGGATCTGTATCACGCACCAGAGAAGCTGCTGAGTGGGATCCAAGTCATGAGTCTGAGGACTTGTGATCGGCAGCAGAAGCCATCCCAGAAAGGAAGGCTTCTATACAGGAACTCTTCACAGGAAGAAAATCCCTCCTACGAAGAGGAGGAATATTCAGGAGTTCATCTGATATGCCTAAACTTTGCAATATTAACTGACACAATTCAGCCTAAAGGAGGGAAGAGATTTACATCTCCTTCCTGCCATGCAATTCATCCAGACACTAGTTGATGAAATACATTTTCTCATATCACTCCTGCAGTAAGTAGACCCATCTCGAGAATATGGGCTCACTACAGGAATACATATTTTTACTGCTTTTTTGGTGACTTGAGGGACCGTCACTTCTCAGAGATGCTACAGAAAACAGGCAAATCCCAGACCCATTTTAAGGGATGACTTCATGAAACCCCTCGCTTACGCAGAATAGGCACTTACCTGCAAAAAACACTCCGCCTTGTGGACTATTTCCAGGAAGTCCTTGAATTCTTCCTCATATTGACTACTATCAACCACACACCAAGTGCATTCTAAACAGGAAAGAATACTGTATTTGAGCATAGGTACAGCAAGAATAAGAACAATCAGAAACAAAATACAAATCACTTCAAGATTTGTTTAACTGCCATATAAATAAATCTGTAAATCTGCATGGTTAAGTATCATTATTGAAAAATGAAAAGTGTCAAATATCCTCTAATTCCCTACGTACAAGGCGGTGTTAAGTTCCTACCTTCCTGAAGAGTCTGGCCCATCCAATAGTGGAGCCTCAGGTAAATAGATTCATCTTTGATGCAATTCATGTAGTGAAGCAACAAGGGATGTGTTAGCACAGAACCCATCTGGGAAGGAAGCTGCAAAAGAAATCAAGACAACTAGTTATTCTGTGGTTACTTCTGCAACTTGCTAGTGAAGCTCATGCTATTACAGCTGTCCAGTCATTTTGCCAGTGGACACAGGAGGCCTCTAATGAGCAACAGCTCTCTAGCCCTGGGCTAGCTGCTCTGTCAGAGCTAGGTAACACATGCACTACTTGCACTACTACTCAGCAATACTCAGTAAGCTTCCCAAGAGCTTCCCTGACACTCACCTCTAGATGGTGGATATTTTGTAGGAGCTGAGAAAAGGTCTGCAGCTGTTCCACCGGGAAAGATTTGCTGATATTGTATAAATCACTGTTCTTATCCTTGACATCTGCTAAATTACTTGTGCTGGCACTGCTTGCAGGTAAAATCAGCTGGGTATTCCATTTCTGTAAAGATAAAACCCCATCAATGAATAGCAATAACTCTGTTTCCAATTCAGTGAAGTACACAGTGCATATACCTGTGGCCAGTGCTCCCATAAACACCCTTACTGTTTTATCAAAAAGGCATCTAAACTACCACTATATCAGGAATCTTATATTTCCACAGAGCTATCCCAGCTTTTCCAGTGCTGAACTAAAGCCTGACTTGCATTACTGGACAGAATTCAGCAATGCTTGGCGCCTCCTAAATTCCCATAACCTACTCTCTTCCGGGACTGATGTTGAGTTGTGCCTAAAAGCAGTGGCTGGAAAACTGGCGATTTTTTCTGGTTCCTTCGCCTTATTGCGCTGATTGCTGCCTTCCACGGTCCCTCTGAATTCTTGAAGTAGGTCTGAAAAGCAAAAATTGAGTATCAATGCAAGAGGCTGAACTAAGAAAAAGTGACAAAGGACAGTTTCTATTTGATACGTGTTACTGCAGAGCTGTATATACACTCAATTGTCCATGCTTAACAGACCAAGAGGGTAGACTTTGGCAGAACAAAACTATATTCATTCCTCAGTTTTACTACCTTTTAACTAATGATTAGAAGAAATATAAAAGTGTAGCTGTTGAAATGATTTCCCATTTTTCAGAAGTCAGATATCTCCAGCACTTTTGATTTATAACCCTCTTTAAGATTATTTTTCCATTCAGTGAATAAAACTCATGTATGTGTTAAAATAAGACCTGACCAAGGCTGGTTTTGGCTTAGGTATAGAAACTTTTAATAAATTGTGTTAACTGAAGTAATTGAAGATGAATGAAGATGAACCCAAGTTTTAGTTTTAGGTCTTATCTACTGCTGTTTTCTTTGTTATACGCTCCGTTTCTATTACCTATATTCTGCTTGGGCTGAATGAGTTGGCATACATGTGCATATAAGCCTCTGTATCTAGTCATAATTAAGCCTTATTAAGTCATAATTGATTTTATTCACTGAAAAGAGAAACAGAATGAACCTTCACTACTAAATGACATTATAGCTTAAATAGAAAGGTCAGTACAAATAATGTCATTGCTGCAAATACAGTAAACCTCATTCCTTACCTTCATCCTCCCAGAAAGGGTTATGGAGACCAGCTCTGGACAAAAGTGCTTGTAAAGCGATAGCAGAGCCTGCAGATGAGGCTGCATTCCCTGTCAAGTAACAGAACAAGAGTAAAAGTGCATGGGATGTTTTTATTATAGAAGCTGAATATTGCATTCAAGAGCAAAAAAAAATCCCTGGGATTACTAAAAGGTACTTGCCACAAAGAAACCACAGATGAACAACAGAAAAGGAAATGAAGAAAAGAACAGAGACTTTGTTAATGAAATACCATAGGAAGGAGATCAGGAAAAGAACTTTCTGTCATAACTCCAACTGAAAGGAATTAAACAATTAAAACTATGAGAAACACATTCTATCTGTGCTGCCTACATGCTCCAAAAAAGCATTACTCAAAGCTTGCTACATAATATTACTTATATTTTTCTGTCAACATATTTAGAAGTACAGTGATTTTTGTCCTACAGAAAAGGGAGGAAGAATCTATATGATCTTGTATTTCTCACCCACAGGTTTGATACTGCTTGAAAAAGGAAGGGGAACCGAAAACAAAAGGAGGAAATAAGTATGTAGAAAGGAACTGCTTTTAAGTTTACGTATTCTGCCTTACCTATCTGTAAAACATATAGCTTAGTGCATGTCATGGCATGTGCTCACAAAGAACATATAAGAATTAAGGATGCACATGCAGAGGAACTTCTGATGCTACAGAGATTAGAACCTACTCTTCTGGGCCCAACACCATCCTAAGATGCCAAATACTCTTCTCCATTCTGTAAGGGCATTAGTATTAACAACTGCAAGCTTAACTACAGTTCAAACTCTACAAGATTTGAAATAAACTCACCATTTTTGCTTGGAGGTCCAGGAGTTTCCTAATGCGAAAAGGCTTGACTGGAAAAACAGTTAAGAGCATTATGAGTAAAAACGCTATATCAGGCATTTAGGTAAAAGTGAGAAATCACTTTTATTATAGGAAGTCATGGCAAAGCAAGCAGAATCTGTCAGTCTTATTTCTGGGCAGATAGGTTTCTGACTCAGAAACTATTACACAGGTCAGACTGAACTACCAGTCAAGCTTCCTTGCCTTAAAAGCAACAAATTGTCCAGCCACTGTATTAACTCTGTTGGGGAAAAAAAGCCAGGGCAAGCAAACAAAACAGCAAAGAAAATGGCCTTCCATCTCACACAACTGGATACACTCACCACTTTCTCTCCTGGTCAGCAGGTAAAGCAGGTGACAGACATAGGGACACTGCAAAGAGAAGGCACAATTAGCTATCCTGCTGATGAAGACTGCTATCCTCATTAACTAAAGAGCAACATGTTTTTACATGATCCCATGTTATCTGGATGCCAGGTCACACATTGCAAAGCAGTATTAAAAAGGATGGTACACGCCAATTTTATTTAGAACCAATACCTTCCATTTGAGTTGTTCCTATAGTAATAATGCTATACAAAGAGGCTGGGGCATGTTTTTTCCAATGTGAGATGGATATTTCAGGAATAAACAGCAAAAGGACAAAGGCATCCTTGAATCAAAATAATTTATCAGAACTTGTAACTACAGTTTAGGCTGTAAGGGTCTTTAATTAATTTCACACCAGTTCTGCTCCACTTCCCAATTGCTCCATTATGTCTGAAAATTATATATTAAATAATTAGAAATTAAATTCTAAGAACACAAAATTAAGCTGCACCCACTAGAAACATTACAGGAATTATAACCCAGAACTTCTAGGAGCTTTAAAAGTCTTAACCACGAGAAAAACATAAATAGAAAGATGTTAACAATTTCCTATCTAAAACAACTGCTAAGATCTGAAACTGATCTGAACTGAAACACTTCAGTTTTACAGTATCTGAATTTTTACACAGTTGCCATTAGCAGAAATCCCCTAACTGCTTGTTCCCATTTCAACTACATCAAATCATTTAAATAGAACAGCATTTAATTTCTCATCATTAAATAAACATTGATTTTAAAATGTCGGTTTTATTTTTCCTTCTTGCCCTAAGTATGCAAGTCTGTTTCTCCCCAGGAGCAGAAGTCTTCTCCTGCTGATGCCTGACATCAAAGGCAATCCAGTGTCACAGTGACCCTTGAAAATTCAGCAAGAATATACTGTCACTCTGTTCTTGTTACAGAAAATCTTTTCTTGGAAATATGTCTAAACAATCTGAATGCAGTTTTTAGACTAAGATAATCCTATGCTACTTCCCTGCTTCTGGATCTAAATTACCCAGCAAACTGGGTAATCCTGGGAGAAATCCTAAGGGAAAGGAAAAATAAGTTCTAGCTTTATAAAAAGGATTTCTAACCCATTGCAACCACTGTCTATTTCTAACCTTAATATGTATGTTATCAACTACCACTTAGGCTTATTTTGTCAGTTCCATTTATTTTTCAGCCCTTCTTACCATCTTCTCATCTTGCAGGAAGGAAAAGAAGAAACCATAGAGGGCATGAAGTTGGTCCTTGTGATCAATGAAGTCGAACATTGAGATCACCCATCTTATAAAAAGCAGCTGCAGAAGAGAGAGCCAGGAGACAGTAAGTGAGGGAAGGAGCAAGACAGACCAGTTGCGTCTCCCAACAACAGCGGTATTCCATGGAAATGTTCATGCAGACTGCATCCCTCAGGAATTCAGAGACGCAAAACAAGCAGGAATCGCACAATTTTACGCTCAGATTTCTGTTTCTCAGCTTTGACTCCTGTTCCAATAACAGTGTCTCCATCAGACTTTCTACATGACAGCAACTTCTATAGGAACTATTTACATTAAAACCATAGCATTTCTGATTCCTAAAAATAATCTGTCCAACCACCCCCCAGCAGAAGCAAATACTATTGCAAACATTTATGAAGTTACCTGGATGCTGCCTGAGCATTTGCTGACACAGAGCCAAGATACAGATGAAACCAAAGAACTTTCTGGTATTACTGAAGCTGGAATTAGGCTCTTCAGTAACCGAGTATTCACTGCATCAGCTGAAAAACAAACAAATTTAAACAAAGTTCTTGCTGGAAAACATTATTTAGAGCTTTAATGCTTACAGTAATGATGCATAAGAATCCACACTATGGATTCATCTTTCTGTCAAAAATCAGGGGATTTTTTTTCTTTCCAGATTGAGGAATGAAAATGGACAATCCTGCTTTATTTAGATTCTTAGAAAGTCATCCAAAAGTAACACAAATTTGTGGTGCTATTAAGTGAGCAGTTCTTCAGTAAAAACAGGACACAACATTTACAGTAATGTATTTCACTATACTGTCCACGTTAATAATTTCCTGCTGTTCAAGGTAATTTTGCTTCTAATTCCACACAATATATGAAGTACCAAAAGCAGAGTCTAAATCTAGTCTGATAAAATGCCTGAGGAATATAAACATAAAGTGACTAGGGGTTATTCAAGCCAAGACTCAAATAAAGAGTCAGAAGCATAAGAGAAAACCACAGTATGTTTTCTAAATATATATATATATATATATATATATATGTACACATACATATATATATTTCTAACCTAGTGTAGTATGGCTTAACACCGCCCCCTCTCCATTATTTTAAGATGTTAAAAGAGTATATGATTGTCAGTTTAATCTCAGCAATTTAGTTCTTGGAGATAAGATAATAATTTTAAGTCAGAAAAGTAATAAGCTAATTACATAATGGGGGAAAAGAATCCTGTGTGCATCTCTGAGTTGACGGAAAGAAAAGTTTAATTCTTTTTTAATTGAATAGGTCATTGATTTAGAAGTATAAATGGTAGTCATCAATTCTAAAAAAGTAACATCAAGTCTGCCTTGACACTACTGAACTGTCAGCATTACTTACTGTTTAATTTTGGCACTTACATTTACACAACCATGCCAGTTTGTTCAGAACAAAGGAAATAGCAGGCTTCTTCATAAATATTTATAACAAACCATATCGCATTATTAATCTGGGCATCACTTACTTAGCAACAGCTAAGGTTATTTTTGATGTGAGTGCTAGAAATCCTGATTTTACATTAAGGTCCCTTACAATACAGTCCCCGTAAACACATTTCCTGAAAGCAGGTCTGATTAGAGGGAAGAGGTACATGTTCTCAGGCAACACGCTCGCAGTATATAAACATCTTACCAAATTTGCCGCTGAGTGCCACATTCAGCAACACATCAAATGCTTCAGGGGGTAATCCTTTTTCCAGGGCAGTGCTTTCCACCGTGGCCAAGTGTTTCTGCAGAACTTCATTCTTTCTCAGCGAAACCGGACTTTGAACTAGAAAAAGACAAACCAAGGATAAAACAATTTCTGAGCTGTAACTGAACTATCTGAAACTTCTCTGAAGGTCCCTATATGCATTCCTCTACACATGGCAACAGAAAGGGGGTATTCTGAGACATTAAACATCGTTTAATGTCTCAGAAACTAGGAGAAACTAGTGGAGGGGAGATTTGTTTGTGTTTTAAGAAATCAGTGATGGTCTTTCTAGTAAGAGATACCTATTTTTAAAACCACTCTCTTACCTTTCTCAAAGTAGCTCACAGCTTGCTCAAAGGAGTCTTGCTCGCTTTCGTTTGCCTGACTGTTATGAGATGTAGGATTCTGAAGGCTTTTCTCAGGGTCAGGTTTCCCTCCTTTCCGCCACGCAGAGAGGTCAGTTTGATTACTGTGGTGAACTTGCAGAGGCTGCTTTGAATTCTTAGAACTCTGCTTTCGTTGCATCTTTTCAGACTCCCAGCTGGGACTGGAGAAGGTTACTCATTTGTCATAGGGTTTCCAATCCTTCAACACAAAGAGGGAAGAGAAGAGATGAACCTCAGAAAGCTGGAGAACCACAGAGAACCAAATCCTGCAGGAAAGTTGTTTTTCCTGATAGACCCCAGAGGGAACCTCTGTAAGGTAATAGAGTAGCTGCACTAGAAACAATTTAGATCAGGCTGACTCCTGGAAGCTCAGACAAGGTGCTCAGAAGATGCACAAACAACATCAAATCTCAATTCTCTCATGTGTTAAAAGGATGAAAAAAATCACAAGTAAAGATTAACACAGACTCCTTTCAACCTGAAAATGTTCTAGTAAAGTTTTATGCAGTGCTTCAATTCAGAATTAAGACAACCATAAAGTTGGCAAAACACAATTAACACTTGTTTTCTTGGGTTATTAACTTGCAGTGTTTATATAAGCGTAATCAGCCAACAGGTCGCAATATCCTGAAAGGGAGCATGCAGATTTTAGAGAATAACAACACTCTTCCCATTTTACGGGATTTTAAACAGAAGCATGCTTCCAGTCTGGGTAAGGAAATAACTTTTTGCATATGCCTCACCTGAACAGCTTTACACAGAACTTCACATAACAGTTTCCATGTACATAAACAGGCCCAATTACAGAAATAAATAAATAAAATAAACAAGACTTTGCTTCCAAACTTTTAGGAAGTGCTGTATTCCCAACCTTTTCAAGCTTTTGTTTTAGAATAACCTCCCTAAAAAACAAGTTAGCATCCGCCAACAATCTTTCAATCCAGCAGCTAGAATTTATTATTAAAAAAAAAAAAATCATAACTTCCGGGGGAATGACAAGAGCTATCAACACAGCAGGCCTGCCTAGCTCAGGCTGAGAGGCAACCACAAAAACACAGCGTTTCTTCCCAAAACAGAGCCTTTGCCCAGGGAACTCAAAATTCGCTGCAAGCTCCCGGGTTTGCCGGGCACGTGAGCGTGGCCCTGCAGAGTTGGGGGGCACAAGGAAACGGGGCGGGTTTGAGGCCGCTCGGCAGAACCGCCCCCCTCCTCTCTATTTCCCTGGGGGTTTGTTACCCCCGGACCCCCGTGCACAGCCTGGGGGGACCAAAACCCCGTTCCCAAGCCGGTCCCCGCCCACTGCCCGTGGGGAAGCGCGGACGGCAGCCCCCAGGCCCGGCCGCCCCCGACTGAGACCGGGTGGACACGTTGCCCCCCTCACGGGCGGAC